GAAGCAAGAAATGCAAAACACCAATAAATTCTCCAAACAGGAAGGGGACTGCATGGATCTAGGACGGACAGCAGGGAAGTCCCCTCACTTTTATTTAGATTCCAACTTACACGGTCACAGAAATCTCAGCTGTCAGATATACCCTCTGTGAATATGGAGGACAGCATGCACGGTAATATACAGCATGAACGTGCTCTTCAAAGAATATAAAGGATAATTTCACGACTCAAGCAGTATGGAATTCAGCCAAGGAAGATGCTGTATCAGATCTAATGCTTGCTGACAGGGGAAAACTCACTCAAAATGTGAAGAAAGGAGGAAACGTTGTGACAGGGCCCATTAGCTCCCCAGATTTGGCATAGTGCCAGAAGGGTCCATGGGCTGAAGTACTCTGTAGCATTATACTTTTACAAGGAATCCTGGGAGAACTGGGACTTTAGAGAGAATTATCTTCTTCACAGAATTTTGAAAAGGTATCTTTCTGGTCAGGCTTATTAAATAGAAATAACTTCTGAGAAAGACATCTGCAACAATGACAAAAAATTAATATGTGACTCCATGTGAAAGGGATTAAAATGAATACTTTTATGAAATATTTCTAAAAAGCAGAAAAACAGGATAAGCTAAATTATGCTCTATCGACTTCAAACATGTGAGAGCCAGAAAAGGAAGTCAAAGGCTGTGCAGGTTTCTGTGGTCATTTTAAAAGAATTGATGTCCAAGGAGGCTGACCCATGTATTAGGGTCACGCTGCTGGTTGGCAAATCTAGGCTTTGACACCAGTTCTTCTGACAGCCCGTCCGGTGCTCTTACATTAATACCACAAGAACCCGTTTGTTATTGTTCTGGGGCAGCTAAGTTCCTCAGCTGATGTGACTTAGCAGGGCATGTGAGAGGAGAGGCCTGACTGTACTTCTCTGCTCCCCACCCCACCACCACCAAGTAATTTTAAGCGTTCTTACTACCATTTTGCTCAAATGAATAAGCAAATAATGAGAGAAGTAAATCTACTGTTTTAACAACTTTATGCTACGACTTAACATAGAGAGTCAAACTAAATAAGAACTTCACATTTCTAATACTGTGTCCTCTAGTGTGTCTAGTTTCAGAGAATGTAAATGCACCAGCTGAAAGGAATGTGTCTCCCCATATAGCTAAGGCACTTACATATCTTTCTTAAGGAATTGCAAATTCTGCCCCCCCACTTGTCCTTTCTCTCCTTCTGCCCTCTACTCCCCAGACTCCCAACATATACGTTCAACTTGCAAGGCAAGCAGGGCATAAAAAAGGTGAGAACTTAGGGGAAAGAGCTCTTTTTCTTGTTAGTCTTATAATAGATAAATGAATTTCCTGAATAATAAATCAAGCCTCTAGAGATATAAATAGAATAGTGAAGAGCTGCTATGAGATATGGTATTCTCTTCCACTCACTCAATAAGTACTTCATAACTCACTTGATGCTGGGAAGTTCCATATAACACATTAATACAAAGACTTGAAAAGAATGTCAGTAGCTCCCTTTGCCTACAGATTAAAAAAAGAAACACAAAAAACCACATGGGACTATAATAGATTAATTCCAAAGTTGCTGAGTTTAGATAGAAAAGTAAATAGAACAAAAGACAAAGGTATGCACAGGCCAAACTCATATATACTAAATCCCGCACAATGCACTTTTGTATTTTTTTTAACTTTTTTTTTTTAATTTTCATTTATTTATTTGACAGAGAGAGAGAGACAGTGAGAGAGGGAACACAAGCAGGAGAGGGAGAGGGAGAAGCAGGTTCCCCGCTGAGCAGGGAGCCCGATGCGGGGCTCGATCCCAGGACCCTGGGATCATGACCTGAGCCGAAGGCAGACGCTTAACGACTGAGCCACCCAGGTGCCCCTCTGCACTTTTGTATTTTGAGCAGAAACATTTCACAGAGAGTACTTAGTTGTATTTTAAACACATTTTTTAAAAATCCAGCTTTTGTGGGGCGCCTGGGTGGCTCAGTGGTTGGGCGTCTGCCTTTGGCCCGGGTCATGATCCTGGGGTCCTGGGATCGAGTCCCACATCGGGCTCCCTACTCGGTGGGAAGCCTGCTTCTCCCTCTCCTGTTCCCCCTGCTTGTGTTTGTGTTCTCGCTATCTCTGTCAAATAAATAAATAAAATCTTAAAAAAAAAATAAAATAAAATCTAGCTTTTGTAACATTTGACTCACATTTACTCTAATCTTTCCCTAATGTAAGAGGCTCAAAGAAAGTATCTGTGGCAAATATCCTAGGCTCTGAGCGCTCCTCCGGGTGGCATGGACTAAAGACATTGAGAAATATCGTCAGAACTAAGTGGGGTATCACCACTCAAACTGTCATCTCCATAAAAGGAGAAAGGCTGTAAGCAATCACTCCACTAAGTATATTTAAATTGCAGAATGCAGCTGCCTCCATCAGTCCCATGTCAGTTGTCTTTGTCATATTAGTATTTATGCATCGGGAATGGTATCCTAGTAATCTGGAAGAGTTAGTACACTCCTAAGACTCATGCCTTACGGATTTTATGGCACAGATATGAGGAGGTGCAGATTTATTTTTCACAATGCTCCTTCCGTCTTTTCTTCCTTAGGTAATATATTTTCTTACTTAGAAAGCCGTTTTTCTCTTTCTCTTTGAAATTTACATTAATCAGTTTTTTAAAATGGCATTTCTTTGTGCATAAAAAGTTACAAGGTTTGCATGAGTGAATTATTAAAAAGTTATCTTATAATTATAGTGTAGATGATTGTGGTGATAACCTGATTCATTCAAACTGTATTTAACATGAATTTAATATGTCCCACACTCAATTTTATTTCTCAAAATTGACATTTAGTAAATTAAATAGATTATCTGGATACCTTAAAATAAAGGATTAAAGGTTTGGTCAATTTTCAGGTGGAAAACTAAATGTGAGGAGGACCATTTGAAGATGTATTAGCTATTTTAACCAGCCTGAAAACTTATTGAGTACTTTTAGAATACATGGCTGTCTGGGTAGACTCATCACTATTCATTGCACATCCCTTTCAATATTGCATCCTAAATGAAATGAAAAAAAATGTCATTTGCTCATAGGCTAAGTAGCTGCTCCTCTTTGGTATAATCCCTCATTCTATGTAAGTATAATTTGTGCTTTTTTGTTGTTATTACATTTTATTTGGGTTCTCTGTCTGTATAATCATAGTCAAAGAGTTGCCTTTCCTTTCTCCATTCCTTATTACTAGAGGTTTCTGGCAATGAAAAACTGCTAATATTTTATATATATATAAACATATATATATATTAAAGATCTTATTTAATTATTTGACAGAGAGAGAGAGATAGCAAGAGCAGGAACACAAGCAGGGGGAGTGGGAGAAGGAGAAGCAGGCTTCCTGCCGAGCAGGGAGCCTGATATGGGACTCAATCCCAGGACCCTGGGATCATGACCTGAGCCAAAGGCAGATGCTCAACGACTGAGCCACCCAGGCATCCCGCAGTTATATATTAGTAAGCCTTTGAAATTCAGTATCATTCATTAAGCTGATTATTATGCTATCTATGCCATTGTTTAAACATATGACATGGCAGGGCTAGAAAAATACTAAGGCTTGTTCTGCTGTTACACCTACTTTAATTAATGGCTTTTTAGTAATAGTATGGCCTAGTAATTAAGAGAAAAAGGCCTTGGGATCACAACTGGATTTAAATTCTGGACCTGACACTTGCCAGGTAGGTGACCTTGACCAATTTCCTCATCTGTAAAATGAGGATAATGACAGTGCCTTTTTCACAGCACAGGTCAGAAGGCAAGCCAAGACATGTGAGGCATTTAGCCTACTGCTTGTCACTGTACTAGTCATTGTTTACTCTTAGTATCAATGGTAACATAATTTACATTATCATTAAAAAAGTAGATCCATAATTTACATACACATATTACATTTTTTAATTGTACTATAGGTTTCAATTTTATTCACAAAGTTATTTAATAGATGGTTTAGTGCCTTGTTGAAATTCAAATATATTACTGTAAGCAACATATTCTATACATACACACCCAGGAACATACAAATGCGTGTATGAATTTTTCCTACTGAATCCCTATATCTGTTTTAACAACTTTATTTTGAATTCTATAATTAGAAAGTCAAATTAGGGGCACCTGGGTGGCTCAGGGTCCTGGGATGGAGCCTGGCAGGGAGTCTGCTTCTCCCTCTTCCTCTGCCCCTCCCCCCAGATCATGTTCTCTCTCTCTCTCTCTCAAATAAATAAATGTCAAACTAAATAAGAGCTTCATATTTCTAAAGCTTACTGTCTTCTAATGTGTCTTGTTTTGGTTTCAAATAATACCAAATCCAAAGGTAAAAGGAATTTGTTTTGCCAAATAGCCAAAGTATTTTTATATCTTTCTTATGGGATTGTCATGTTGAGTAAGGGACAGGCAAGGCTAGGTAGGGAACTAGGGTCACTCAGGGGGCGATGTAACCAGGCTCACAGAAACCCCAGATGTGGAGAAACAGACATGATATTTACAAGAACACCTTGTTTGCACTCATGATATTTACAAGAACAGCTTGTTTGTTCTCATGATAGTTACAGGTGCAACATGTTCATTCTAAATATAGAAATGATATTCTCAAATCAACCATGATATTGACATGATACTTACCAAGTTCACTCGTCAGTTTCCTATAAAAGACCGACCGTGAAAGCTTTCAGTGGTAACCCATTCAGAAACTCTCTCACGCAGGAGAGCTATTTCCTTCCCTTTCTATTTTCATCTTCGCTTAAGCTTCATCCTTTTGTGTCCCAGAGATTCTTCGGCTCCATGAGACAAGAACTTGTCAACAATGACTACCCATACTCCACTGGTATTTATTTTATTGTGTTCATAAATGATTCTGTGAGGATGCTGCCCAGGTTCAATATTGAGTTCACAGAAAATTAAAACGTTGGGTCTATATGAAACTAATGTAAGTTTCCAAAACGGAGATACATACCTGCCTTCAAAAAAGGTAAGTTATCTTTTCCATTCACACTTTCTGGGGCTGTACATTCACATACCAGTGCACACTAGGGAAGAATAAAAGGAAAAAAAAGTGAAAATAACGAAATTAAGAAAAATTCTTCCATTTTGTTTCCAAAACATGAGGCTATGCACATAGTTTAAAAAAGTTGTTGAACGAGATTTTTGTAGAACTATTTTCAGCTTTAACTTTATGAAGCTTGTTTAACTTTTGATTACTTACGTATATATGATTGTATTGCATAATTAACATATGATTGTACTGCATAATTATAGATTGTCTTGGTTGTAGTTAAAAACTTAGAAAAGAAGGCAAAAAGTGGAAAAAAATTGTCTTGCAACATGCTAGAAGTCTTCTAGTACAGCAAATCACATTGACAAGCTGGATGGTTTTATATTTGTCACCTCAGTTTGGGATCAATAAACAAATTACTTTCTAGATTTCACGTAAATGTTTTAAATAAAAGATAAAATATGTTGTACCATCAAATTACAGAAGACAAAAGGAGATTTTTGTCTCGCAAAACAATGCAAACACTTGCTCATAAAGTATGAGGTCACTTCATAAACAAACTGATCTGATTTATAAATTATTATTTATAAATAATTTGTAAATAAGCTGGTGCAGAGGTCAATGTATAATCTATGATTAAGTTCATGAGCTTTTACAGAACCAACACTGTTCTGGACAGAAGAAACACGGAAGAGCACATTGCCATGTTTCTAGTGAGTGAAGCAGGACTAGGCAACAATATCCCAGACCATGTAGCACTAAAAGTGATGGACTCTCCTTAACTTTCTTTGAAACCGTAATTAACAGAGGAAGCCGCTTTTCTGGTCCCAGAAAGCTGACAAGAGACCTATTTTCACACAGGCACCAACATGACTGGCATTTATTTTTTCAAATGAGTTTCCTTCTATCACTAGCCACAAAAAAAGGGTGTGTGTGTGTGTGTGTGGTAGTTTGAGGAAAGAGGAGAGTGAATTTTGAAAGCAAATATATCAGACATAAACAAATGCAAATAAAAACAGAACAAAGGAAAACCCAGAAACTATTTTGGTGAGGAGTTCTGAGGGAAGTAGCCAATCTTCTGTAGCATGCATGGCTTTACTCAAGAGACTCCAAGGGCTCAGATTACCCTCCCCAGGAGAATGTATCAAGATTGTTTGGGCTATTTCCGAACTCTGTTCCCTCCACTCTTCCTTCTCCAGGCACTAGCCCCCTTGGAGAATTAGGCCACTGCGGTCACTGTTAATGATGGACATATGTCTATCAAACATTTTGAGAAGAAAGACTGATAATTTAAAACATTGATTTAAATGTTACTTCTGTATTCGTATAGTCCACTACTTATTCCCCATCATAAACATTCATCACATTACTCAGGAAATTTCTGAATAGGGAAAAATGTGCTCATAATTTCTTCAGTGTTTCTACTGAGGTTCTACTTTACTGAAAGAATGAATAACTGTAAACAGCTCTTATAATCTGATGTTCTCTAAATCATTTTCCTGACCAAATCAAAACTCAAGAGGTGATCGTTTCTTTTACTCCACAGCTATTTGGAAAATGGACTTTCCAAATCACTACAGCAAGGTGCAGTGATGCTTGGACATACTTAAAATTCTTTCTCTTATTCCCAATATTTCCTCTACACTTTTTAGTTCATCTATGGCTGTTAAAATATTTCATAAAGTTAATATCTTACCAGTGCTCTGCTCTAAAATGTGTAACCGTTATTTGCTGTCCAATCAAATCCAATATTCTGACTGGTGTTCAAATTCTTTCATGATTTGTCCCTGATATCCTTCCACATAATAATGTAATATAATAGTTATATAGCTTTGAGCCATCCTCCTCTCTGAAACAGGATTATCACCTACAATATAATCTATAGAAATGGTTTAAATTAAACCTTTTTAGTAAGGAAGTCCATAATTCATAGGGATCAGGCTATTATCTTGAGAAACTGCTTCTCTACATGGAGGGAGCCCTGCCTCTTCATAATCAAAGTCAACTTTCTGTTTCCTAATAGAAGGCCTGTATTATTTTACCAAATGGATCAGAAATAGAATTTTCATACATTTGTATCTTCTATCTACACTGGAAGGCAGATATTCAGAATAATTTTAACCTAATAACATTCTTATTTTGCAACTTTATTGTATTTTAAAGCTTTATTATTCACAATGCTGTCAAGATTTAAATCCACAGAACATAAACAGAAAATATCCAATAAATATTTATTAATAAATATTTTTATATTTGGACTAATTATTTTCTTCAATTGTTTCCCAAGTGTACTGTCTTACTATTTAAATTGAGAGTTTTAAAGCCAAGAACCATAGTTATTTCTTCAGCCTATTCTGTTTAATTTTTTTACAGTTGACCCTAGCATCATTTTTACACTGTGCTAGATGCTACATAGAATGCAAAGATTAAAATGATTTGGAATCATTAAGCACAGGCTTAAGGAGCCTCCAGCTATGTATACTGTTTATTGCTGTCATTATGATGGATATTTTCAGGGTTACGCCCTTATACTGTGTGTGCTCTTAGTGTAACCTTTGTATTTGTGATTCTGAGCAGGAATAACAAACACCACATGCTTTTTGTTCCAATAGCACTGTAAGCCTATTGATTTTGATGAGTGCTTTAAAAAGTGTCATCTGACAGTAAGTGTGACCAAGAAGAAGAAACCTAAGATACATAAATTTCTTGGAGCTTAATGATGTTGAATATCAACTAACATACCAATTTGCCATGCATTGGGCTAGAAAATTAACCAAACTGTAAAGACAAAGATCATGAAGGACAAAGACCGATACTTCTTGGCTAAGCACTTTTACATTTGTTAGTTCATTCCTTAGATCATGGTTGTTAAACTTTGGAGTCTGGCCACATTTCACTTTCTCTGATTCAACTCATCAACTCCTCTTCATCTCTGCCTTGAGTCTTTGCAGTAAACAGGCTCCATTCTTCTGTCCTTGCTTCTTTTAGGCGATACTCAACATAACACCCCAGAACGGTCCTCTTAAAACATGAATCAGATCAATTTGCACCTACACTCAAAAATCCTCCACTGTCTTTGCATCTAGCTCAGAGTCTAATGATCTCTAAGGGAGTATACAATCTGTCTTCCCTGCCTGTGGACCTTATCCTCAACTCCTACCACTTTCCTCTCCAACCCCCAGTTCCAGTCATTTTACAGGCACCCTGCCACCTCAGGACCTTTGCCCCTGCTGTTCACTCTGCCTAGAATTCTTGTTCCTCTCATATACCCACATCTTGCTCCCCTATTTTCCTGCATGTTTCAGCTCAGACATATTACCAGTGAATCTATCCTTGATCACCCAGTATAAAAGGGCCACAGCCCACACTCCCTAGTAGTACTTGTACCCTTATTTTTTTCGATAGCATACAGTACCATCTGATCAACAATATATTACTTGTTTGTTTTGTTATTGTTTACCTCCCTAGAAGGCAGCATCTGTGTCTATGTGGTTCATTGCTGAATACCCAGAACCTAGTAGAATGCCTAGAACATAGAAGGCAGTATTGTTTGATGAATGATGAATATTATATTCTTGCAAATATCTTATAAGTCAAATCAGTTACATTATTTTCAATTTTATATTTGGGAAAAATAAAGGGACAAATAGTGTCTGCTTTAAGATGCTCCTTAGCTTCCCTAGGACTCTACCTTTTCCCTGACCATGGCCTAAGAATGTCTGATTAAAACACCACTTCAATACATGGGGACAAAATGACCTGAGAAGAGTAGCAAGGCATGAAAATACTAGTTAGGTTAGGCTCGTAGTGAAAAGAAGATGTTTTATTAGTCCACTTACACCATCTCTGTCACTGTCCTAAATACGTAAGGCTTTTTCCTTTTGTAGAAACCACCACTACTTTGATCATTAGTACTGTGCCCTGTGCCACATTCAAATATAATAGACATTAAACAAAAGGGGGAGACAAGGCAGGAGCTGAACTTGGCCCACGCAGAGCCTCACTGGAGGATGCCTGTTAAAAATCCTGCTCCCCTGACAAGAAGCCAAGTCACTTTGGTGGCAGGGCAGAGGGGAGGGCTATCTCATTGATCTTGCTGGCTGTTAATTACATTGGTTTTTCTATTACCGGGTTTGATTATTTTGCTTCCTCATTCTCCTTTCCCTACTAGGTATTTTTTTCTTGACTATTTAATTCAAAGTTGTTCTTAAAAAGTTTCTTCCTCTTTCCTTTATAATGCTACACTCTTTACTGCATCCTCACTCTAGTCTTTACTTATGGACCAGTTTGTACACAGCCTTATATGCAGCCAAATATTATCCCTTCTAGGAGACAATTTTGGATTTTATTTCTTCAAGGTAAAATTGACTTCATTTACTCATTCACTGATTTTTCCTGTGCTAGGCTCTGTTCTAGGCACTGGGGGGAGGAGTAAAGGAGAGAACAAAATAGACAAATATCTTTCGTGGAGTTTAATTCTAGTGAGGGAAATAGACAATAAGATAAATAAAATATATGTGATGTTGGACAGTGATAAGCACTAAGGACGAAAATAATGCAAAGAAAGGAGATACAGAGTTTCTGGTAGGCATGGCAATTTTGGATACAGGGCAGAGAAGGTCATATTTTGCAAAAAGACCAGAAGGAAGTGAGCAAATGAAGCATATAGTTACCTGGGGAAAATGCTACAAAGATAGATTGAAAAACAAAGTGAAGGACCTGAGTCAGAAATGTATCTGGACTGTTTGATAGCCAAGAAGCTAATGAGGCTAAGTGAAAGTGAGCAAAGAAGAGTAGAGGATGAGGCGAAGAAAGTAATGGGGGGCCAACACTTGCAAGGACTTTAAGTGGGTCACTGAAAGGATTTAGGTTTACACTTTCAGGGAGTTGAGAAGCCAGTGGAGAAATGTTCTGTGTTATGTCTTAACAAGTGCTCTGCTGAGAATGGACTATGATGATCGGGGTGTCGGGAAGGAGGAAGAAGGGACATTTAAGAGACTACCATGAACACGTACATGACAATTCTGTAAGAGGGAAGGGCTCAAAAGTCACTGGGTTCTGGACAGAATCAGCAGGATTTGCTGACATACTCACTGTGCCTGAGAGGAAGAAATGAGTCAAAGGTGACTCCAAAAGTTAAAAAAATTTGGATACCTAATGCGACATTTCACCTATTATATGAGCTTTGTAAAATGTCCATGTTACTGTTTCTTTTGTGAATTTTTCTTTCTCTAGCTATGTGATTTTAACACTTTGTCTTCTTTCACTATGTATGTACATATCAAATAAAAGTTTGAGCCGGGGGCGCCTGGGTGTCTCAGTCCCTTAAGTGTCCAACTCTTCGTTTCTGTTTAGGTTGTGATCTCAGGATTGTGGGATCAAGCCCACCATCGGGCTCCGTGCTCAGCAGGGAGTCTGCTTGAGATCTCTCTCTCTGCCTCCCTCTCTCTCTCCGCCTCCCTCTACCCTCCCCACCCCACTTGCTTGCCTCTCTCCCTTTCTCTCTCCCTCTCAAACAAAAAGTTTGAACCAGTGTGGTATGGTGAATGACCTTCTGAACCACCTTTGCTTGATGAGAACTATATCATAACAATATAATTTAAGGAAACAAGTAATGTGAGAGGACAGAGTTTGGCTTTTCATTTATATTTTATTCCAGGCTCTGGAGGTTATCTGAGATTAAAGATTCAAATGTAGTATTTTACATCAGGGATATAGCTATGAACTGGATTGTGTTCCTCAAAATTCATTATGTTGAAGCCCTGAGACCCAGTATGACTGGATTTGGAGACAGTCTTTATGGAGATAATGAAAGTTAAAGATGATAAGGGTGGGGCTCTAATCCTATTGGGCTGGTGTCCTTATAAGAAGAGGAAGAGACACGAGCTCGTTTTGCTGTCTCTATGCTAATGTGCCAAGGAAAGGCCATGTAAGGACACAGCTAAAAGTTTGTACACCAGGGAGGGAGCCCTCACCAGGAACGAAGTCACCTGGCACACCAACCTGGCACTTCCTGGCCTCCAGAACTCTGATAAAATCAATTTCTGTCATTTAAGCCATTCAGTCTGTGGTATTTTATTAGTATGGAAGCCCAAGCTCATTAAAACAGGTATTACAATCTTTTATCTACTTCAGTATACACAAGCAATAACGTGTCACTCACCCACATGACTGGTGCTAATAGTTTCATTTCTTTTTCCTCCATTCATACAAACTTGGGAGAGCAGTGTTTTACAGATAACCTCGATTTCAGTTACTTTGCCTTGTCCTATGTTTCAGTCATTCACTAACTTGGGGACTTAAGTCCCCATTAGGAGATTGTGTTAATACACTTCATAGACATTTTGATTTAGCAGATCTGCAAAGAAGTTTGCATATCTAACACTCCAGAAAATTCTAATGCTTTGTGAAACACAAAGTTATTCCACATAATTGTAAATATTGTGCATAGTGGACCTTACTACATGTTCTTCACGAATCATGACGCTTCTGAAGGATTGCCAACAGAGTTATAATAACTTTATAAAAAATTCGCAAAAGGTCAGTGTTTACTAAGAACCCAGACAGGCCAGACTAATGTCAACGATGGTACATTTATCGTTTTAGTCCACTTACGACTTGCACGTGGTACATGCTGACGCTGCCGCCACCTATTTCTAGAACAGTTAAGTCTTTTTAAGTTCACATTACTAGGTCAGAAACGTCATGTGGGGCTTTGGTGGGGTATATTCCTGGGTATCAAGTTCTCTGCTTACAAAAGAGTATGATTCACTTCGCACTATATAATAGCAACAGAGTAAAGGAGTCAGGCAGTGGGCAAAGCTTTGAGGGAATTGGAGAGGGGGCTAGTAATAGATGGGGAGCAGTCAAAATAGGCCTCCGTTGAAATGGGGAGTGTTTCTGCTACTCGTCTCCTGGCATACTGCCACAGGTCTAAGCACAATTGTCTATTTCTGTTCTCAGTTCCCCACCTGGCCTCCAAATCTTCCCTCCTTAATCTTGAGGCAAGCATCCATGTGGTGGTGACTAATACGCACCTTATATAGAACTCTAAAGGAAAGGGGGATTGATGAAAGGGGCCCCATAATTGGGGGTCTCGGATGCACACATCCTAAGAGCCAAACTGGTGTTTTGAATACACAAATCTTGAGAAGATCTGCAAATTCTTGACAGTCTTTACATGATCAGGCAACCAGATTCAAACTTGGAGCCTCCCTGAAATATTTTCATGATCCTCGCTATGTTCTGAGGGAGAGCAGAGGAACAGAGGAGAACAAGACTTGGCCCCGCAGGTAAGACCCTAGCTTATTCTGGGGGCAAGAACAATATTCTTTTGAAAGGCAGTCTTAGATTTCTTTTGTAATGTTAATAATTTGTTTTTGTTTTTTTTAGACAAAAATTAATTTGTTGTGTTAGATAAACAGCATTTCTCATGTAGATGTTTTCTCAGCACCCCAAATTCAATATGCTCCTAGATAAGGGCCACTAAGCCAGAAACTAAGTCACTAAAGGCCTTATCCTTAGAACATGCTCATTTATGAAAAGGTATGAATTATAGTGTATACGCAAAATCTTTCCTGAAAAGATGCAGTTTTTAAGTCCATCCCCTGTGCCTCAATAAAGTAGGCGACTGCATTCCTAAGACGGGAATTTAGTTTAATACTTACATCAAGTTTCTCTTTCTTAGAGAAAAGGTAAAAAATCCTGGACACATACTGATACGCACTGGGACCTTTATGCTCAGTTCAAGGAAGCTGCTTCCCCTCCAGCTGGCGATGCCCCTCCTCCAAAGCTGTTTCTCCACTTTGCGCTATTTCCTACTCCTCTCTCTGCAATTTTATAAGGCCCAGCATTATTAAATGTGTGCTCCTTCACATACAAATGAAATCTAAACTCAAATGCATTTCTTTCTAAAGAGGGTTTTGAGAGTAGAGAAGTGGTTACTTTTGGCAGTAGCCGTCCTGGAATCATCTTTGCGTCTCACGTAGGGTTAATTAGAGCGGAATGCAGCAGTGATCAGTACTTTTGTTCCAGCTGAGAGGAGAGTGTCAACACGGGGAGCCCCGGGGCTAAGAAGGCGGCGTTGCTGAATGGCGAACGGCTTTGCAGAGTTCCGTGCAAATAGACCCTCTGGTTCAGCGGACCAAACATGCTTATGGCACTTCAATTCCAGAGCTGATTTCTCATTTGGCTTATGAATAATAAGATTTCATAGTGCACCAGAAGTGTTGATGATTCAGGCAACTGGCAAAACTGATCGTTTCTAATTTAATTGGTGCATTGAGCTGACTGAGACCCTACCTTTTGTCCCTGCACATCTGCGGTGATGTGGTCGGCTTCCCCATCCTCAATCTCCCCCATCTTCACGATACTGACTTCTATGGTGCCAACAACTTTGCCACCATCTGAAGTTCTGCAACCAAAAATAAATGAAATGGAAAGGTAAGAATCTTCTCTCCTTAAAGTATGCTCAAAACATGTTTGTTTCTGAAAACCACAAATATTACTCTTTACCTTCATTAGTTTTAATTAAACAAACTACTTTAAAAACATTAAAACATGTTAATATTTGTTGTGGTTAATTTAAAAATGTTAACCACCAATTTATGAAGTAAGTGCACGGACTGTCAAAAGCTACCTCATGATGGTGAAACCTCTTCCAGGCTTTCAGAAGTGGACACAAATATCCTGCATCGGTGTCCTGTTTGGCAATACCACATCCCCACAACAGCATAAACCATGGCTTCTCTCTACCAACTGCATGGGATGTTGCGCACGTCTGTCATGGAAACCACAGCTGGGGGCACCTGGGTGGCTCAGTTGGTTAAGCGTCTGCCTTCGGCTCAGGTCATGATCCCAGTGTCCTGGGATCGAGCCCTGCATTTGTCTCCCTGCTCACTGAGGAGCCTGTTTCTCCCTCTCCCGCTGCCTCTGTTTATCCTCTTTCTCTCTGTCAAATAAAATCTTAAATAAAAAAACCCAAAACTACAGTTGAATAAAATAGAAAAGAATATAAACATCCCTATACTCTTCTCTGACTGGGCCACTGGCCACAAAATCTGATTCTGTGCCTTTTTCCTAACACTATTTTTCTAAGAGACTAGGTAAAGGAGGTTCTCTCCCAGCAAACATAAAAAAGTTAAGGTACATGCAGAGCAGAAATTAACCATAGAGATAATTTAGTAAACACTTCATCAGATAAAGAATCGGAGACTCAAAAAGATGGACTCATCTAAGGTAACCAAATGGCAAAACCAGAAATTCACGTTTCTATCTTCTTCACGTCTGTTGGTCATTGAAAAACTCCATTTAATGATAATGATTATTAAGATTTTCATCATCATTATCATCTTCAACATAATGAATTTTCTGGTGAACAATAATGAAAGAGAAAAAATGAATAACCACCCTCCTTTCAGATTCTCTAATTTCTTTTCCTGGGCAAGAAAATATACAGAATAAATGGTGCCATCATAACATGGGAACAGTGTGACACAATATTTTCCCCTCGAATCTCATTTTGAAGATAGGCAGCAAGCCACTCCATAGGCATGACATTTTGCCATAACTTCTTTCTTAACCTAATTGACTAATAGTAGAAACACGATGCTTCCTTTTCTTCTGTCATGTCTTTTTCAGCAATTTGTTTTTAATTTTAATTGGGATACAAATGATGTCTGTCTTTCAACCAATTCCTTCTAAATGTCACTTTTATCATTAAAGATGTCAGGAAAGAGGATTAGGAAAATTTCTATAGTTTACCAAAATACTAATTAAAATAATAAATACGTTCGGTGAAAAGGAAACCAAATTATGTTCCTAGATTATGGCAGGTTTTTCTCATAAAAAGTATAAATTAAAACACACCCTTTGAATTGTGCTTTTAAGGAGATTGAAATTGGTGACATGCATACCTAATGTCATAACGTAATAAAATAAAAATTGTGTACATAGGAAAAAGTGATTTCTTATTAAAATGAAGATTTCTTATTAAAATATGAAATAAAATGCTTTTTGGTGACTTTCAAAACAGTGGAAATCATATTGATTTAATTATTTGCAATTAATATAGAAACTTTACTCATCACAAAGAAGATGTGTATAAAGAGAACAATAATTTTGTGAAAAACTGCATTAGCTCCAATTCTGGGGTAGTTTATTCATTATACCATTCTCCCACTGCAAAATGATACAATAACTTGTCATAAATCATGGTGTGACTTAACTTGTCATAAATCATGGTGTGACTTAACTCTGTACAATTATTCAGTACCTAATAAATAAAGACTTTAATAAGAGCTCTCGTTGGCACTACTCATAGCTTTTTTAGAGGTTTGCAGGTTCTTTTTCCCCAAGCTGATCATCAGTAACAATTACAGATATCTTTTCCTTTTCGTAGGAGTTGCTTAAAATTTTTTGCTTGAAGAAACTGAGCTAGATTCATTTCTAGGAATGCAAACCTATGTACAACTTTCTAAATTTTTTCATCAAACTAAACCAAACTATGCCATAATGATTGGAAACAGAGGGTAGGCTTTTCACAGTCTCTCCTGGGCCTGGGTTATAAACCAGTATGTGCCATAGTGGTCACAAGTGTGCACTCAAGAGTTTGGGCTACCTGCTAGCTGCATGACCCTGGGCAAAGAACTTAACCCACGTGAAACTTCGTTTGTAAAATGGAGATGATCATTTTATTGTAAGGATTAAACTGTGGCATGATTGCTGTGAAGTGCTCAGCACAATGCCTTAAACAAGACGAGTGCGTCTTCCTTCCACCCCTCCTCTTCGTCCTAGTAGTAGGGCAGTGGTACCAGTAGCAGCAACAATAGAATCGCTATGTCATGAATGGTATTTATATATGGTGTTTAGTTTTATAATGTATTATGTGATATTTATATATGATGTTTAATTTTATAACGTATTAGATATTTATATATGATGTTTAATTTTATAATGTATTATATGATATTTATATATGGTGTTTAATTTTATAACGTATTATGTGGTATTTATATATGGTGTTTAATTTTATAACGTATTATGTGATGTTTATATATGGTTAATTTTATAACGTATTATGTGATTTATATATGGTGTTTAATTTTATAACGTATTATGTGATATTTATATATGTTTAATTTTATATTGTATTATATATTTATATATGGTGTTTAATTTTATAACGTATTATATGATATTTATATATGGTGTTTAATTTTATAACGTATTATGATATTTACATATGATGTTTAATTTTATAATATATTATATGATATTTATAATGGTGTTTAATTTTATAATGTATTATATGATATTTATATATGATGTTTAATTTTATTCTCTCCAGAACTTTTACTAGCCTAGGCATCTAAGACGATAGTAAAACATTATAGGATCTCAAACTTCATTTCAACAATGAGTGCTCATTAAAGATACAGAGACTTAGTAATAACAGATATTATGAAGCTTACATCCCTAGTAGTGCAAACAACACAGGTTTATAACTAATTACAATGCGGCTGAATCTTTCAAAGTGTGAAAGTGACTGAATAAGTAATGTACTATGGGAGTGACCTTCTAAACTACAGCTCTATCTATTTCTGTTAAAACAATTATCTGGGGTGCCCGGGTGGCTCAGTCGGTTAAGCATCTCTGCCTTCGGCTCAGGTCATGATCCTGGAGTCCTGGGATCCAGTCCTACATTGGGCTCCCTGCTCAGCAGGGAGTCTGCTTCTCCCACTGCCCTTCACCCTGCTTGTGCTCTCTCTCTCTCTCAAATAAGTAAGTAAAATCTTAAAAAAAAACTAATTATCTGGCTACTTTTTAAATAATTTTGACGCCTTCGCAGTTTCCTACTTCATTTTATCTTCTATAGGCTTCCACTTAGTCCCAGAGTGGAATCAAAGCAAGGAGCTTGCTTAATCTAGTGATGCTAGAATGATTCTAAAATCTTTTTTTTTTTTTTTTCCAAAACCATTTTGGATAGGCAGTTCTGACTACTCTAAAGCATGTCTCTTCATCTGAGATTTGTGGGAGACAGAATGGGGAATCCAAGTTACAAACTAAAGAGCTGAATTCAAGACACCCAGAAGCATGGTTCATCCTGTCAACGAACTGGAATATAAGATGTGGAAGCTGTTTTCTATTTATCCTGCAACAATTTAACACACACCAAGTATCGATATTCAACACTTCTCTTCAGTCAGGGGAACCATGACTGAAGTATCTACTTCACGTTTTCAAAGGCGGTTTCAAAGGTGATTTCCCACAAATAGAAGAAAATTCATTCTTAAATGCTTAATTATGCTTTCAATTCATCACCCATCAGGTTTGTGGGAGGGTCTAGTAATAATAGCTTAACCATTATTCATCACCAAAATTCTCCCGAATTTTATCTAGTGGAAATTGTATATTCATGGAAGATATATGGAAGAGACATCTGGGCTAGGAATCAAGAAATCCAAGTACTACTTCCAGTTCAGCCACTAACGCTATGTGACCAACTATGTATCACTTTAGATCTCTGGATTTGTTTCCTCTGCTAGACAACGAAAAATTGGTCTCTAACAGCTCTTCTATAATACTAGCACTCAAGCGCAGTGCTCTAGTCACTCCTGTGATTCCATCATATGATTCCTCCTCTTCTCATCCTACCTTCCATGCAAACAAACCAAACAAGCCAACTGCATGCCAAACCGGGGAAGTAACTGAACACTTAAGAGTCAAATAAAAGGGCTGGTTTTTCTTATAACAGCCAATGCATACATACAGATTTGACTACCATTATGGCACAGCGTTTTGGTGTTTTTACAAAGATACAAATTTGACTGAACCCAGACAAAAAAGTGATTTTACACACTTTCCTAGCAATTTACATGGCAACAAGAACAGGCTGCAGTAATAAATAATGATCTCAATCTATATGAACAAGAACAACAAAAAACTGTGCCATTTCAGCCACTTGACATGTCATTAGCACAGTTGCATGCAGAAAGCTGTATGAGAGGTAAAAGATGAACAGTTCATGGCCGATAGAGTATTTCGATCCAACACCAAAGTTCCTAGTTAAACTCGGCAAATACAGTAGTCCCCCTTATCCATGGTTGCACTTTCTGAGGTCTCAGTTACCTATGGTCGACAGATGATCATCCTCCTGACATATCACTGGAAAATCAACAGTAGCCTAATGCTATGTCACAACACCTGTCATTCACCTCCCTTCATCTCATCACACAGGCATTTATCATTTCTCATCATCTCAAGAAGAAGGGTGAGTACAGTAAGCTATTTTGAGAGAGACCATATTCACACAGCTTCTATTATGATACGTTGTTATAATTGTTCTACATTGTTGTTAACCTTTTCCTGTGCCTAACTCATAAATTAAACTTTTTCACAGGTAGGTATGAATAG